AGATCCCAGGAAAGACCAAACGGAAGTCATATGTGGAGCCAGCCCTGAGGTTGTGTTCGTTCACATAACACTTGCCAACGGTGGAAACACTCACAGTGGGTTTCAGCCCCACAAACCTAAAGCCCTGAGTTGACACCTCTTCTTTCTTCTGAGTTTTAAAGGGGTTTCAATGTTTTTTTTTTTAAATGTGACCATAATTTTCTCAGTGATCCTGTTGTCCTTTCACACATGGTCATGTTTAACTACACACTCGCCTGAGTCTCTGGGGATCGCCAGAAGGCAGCCTGGCATACAGTAAAGCTTCAGTAAATGCTTGCCACGTACCCCTTCCTCAATGTCTTGTCGGTCACCTCTACCTTTTCCACTTTTCTAGGATGAATGACAGGTGGCAGTAACTTGTGGCCTACAGATCCACTACCTAATAGTGACCTCGGTGTCAACACAGTGTGCTAAGCCAAGATCCAATGTGGCACGAAGCATGGGCATTGCCCTTAAGATGGTCACACTGTATTGAGGGAAATATGTCAACAATTACAGTATCTTGTGATATGATACAGGGGCATCCCGAGAAGATGGGGTGGGACGGAGGAGGAGGCCAGGGACGGTAAGAGGAGAAATGACATAAACGAGGCTCTCTAAGCCAATCTGAGAGGTGGCTGGGGGCAGTGGCCAGAGAAGGCAGCGGTCACGTTATGGAAGGACGGCCTTGTGTACTGAATCGAGGATGTTAGACGCGATTAAAGTGAAGGGGAGAAGTGGATTAGATTTGCGTCTTAGAGGCACAGGACCGGTTCATGGGCAGGAGGGGATATCTGGGGAAAGGGACCACAGTGGGGAGACTCTTATAATAGTTTGGGATAGAGTAAAGGATTGCAGCAAGAGACGAGGCATTCTGGAAGTATAATGACTAGGGGGCATTTTGGAGATGGTATCAATCATGATCTTTAGTTTGTAGCAACAGAAATGGGCTCTGGTTAGCTTAAGTGAAAAGGGACTTTATTTGAAGACCGTCGGGTAACTCACAGAACCAATGGAGAGCTCTGGAAATGAGCAGGAACCAAAGGCCGCCAGGATGCCAATGGTGCTGCCACCACTGGGATCTCAGTGCCTCCAATCCTCTTAGGTTCTCCAGTGGCCACTTCTGCTGTGAGTTATTGCTCCACTGCCCCTACTGTCCCTCAAAAGCTCAGGGTGGCCAGGTGGCTCAGTTGGTTAGAGCACACGCTCTTAACAACAAGGTTGCTGGGACAGTGGGCTGTGCCTCCCCTCAACTAGATTAAAAATGGCAATGGACTTGGAGCCGAGCTTCACCCACCACAACTAGATTTAAGGACAATGACTTGACTTGGAGCTGATGGGTCCTGGAAAAAACACAGTTACCCAATAAAAATAAAAAAATAAAAAAATCAAAGTAAAAAATCAAAGCCACAATGAGATACCACTTCACCTCCACTAGGAGGGCTAAAGTAAAAAAGACAGTGAGTAACAAGTATCGGTGAGGATGTGGAGAAATCGGAAGCCTCCTTCACTGCTGGTGAGAATGTAAAATGGTGCAGCCGCCTTGGGAAACAGTCTGGCAGTTCCTCAAAATGTTAAACAGAGTCACCATATGAGCCAGCAATTTCACTCCTAGGTACACTGCTAAGAGAAATGGAAACACATCTGCATAAAAAACTGTATGCTAATGTTCATAGCAACATTATTCATAATAGCCAAAAGTGGAAACAACCCAGGTGTCAATGAAAGAATGAATGAACAAAATATGGTAACTCCATACAATGGAATACTATTCAGTTATAAAAAGGAATGAAGTATTAATACACACTACAACATGGATGAGCCTTGAAAATATGCTAAGCAGACACAAAAAGACGCGTATTGCATGATGCCCTGTATGTGAAATGTCCAGAATAGGCAAATCCATAGAGACAGGAAGTAGATTCATGGTTGCCAGGGGCTGGGGGAGGGGAGAGAAAGAGTGACTGCCAATAAGTAGAGAGTTTCTTTTTTGGATGGCAGAAATGTTCTAAAATCGATTGTGGTGATGGTTTCACAACTCGGTGACCATACTAAAAACTACTTTGAAAGGGTGAATTTTTATGGTATTTTAATTATATTTCAGTAAAGCTATTATTTTAACAATCTAACTGGCTAGAGACCATCCACCAACTGGCTAAGTTGGGCCCCAGGCCCAGGACCTGGCTGAAGAGAGCTTCCGTAGTGGGGTGGGGGTGGCTTCACCCCCAAAGGCTCCAGAACTAGGAAGGGTATTCAGAGGCTGGGCAGCCACCATGACTGCATGCGTGGGAGTGAAGCTGCAGACACTTGGGCAGCCTTGGCGATTCCTGACCTGAGAATTCGCCAAGCCTGTTTATGAACATATTCCAGCCTTGCTCCGGGTCACTGGGTCATGACCGGACAGCCTGCGTTTAATTATTCATTGTTAGAAGAGTGTCTGGATTATACAGTCTCACCTTTGAACACATTGTCTCAAAGCGCTTCTCTCTCTCTCCATATATATATATATATATATGACCCCAAGTGGCCCAACTTTTAGGCAAGCCAATGGCTGCATGGATAGGTATGCAAATTTCCAATCCCCTGGTGTCTTGAGCTGGTAACAGTTTTTATAGTTGTGGTTATAGTTCTGAGAGGCAGATTGCAGTGTTTGGTTTAACAAAACTTTTTCCTTTTTTTCAAGGCCTCCCCAGTCTATTTGATATTCACCATAAAGCTCACACTTTGGGGGAGACATTCCCCACGACAGTTTGGGACCCCATTAGGTTCCATCAGTGGTATGCTGGTGAATGTTTACCCACCAGTTCTGGGTGGCGTTGGGGAAAGGGGCCTGACATGTAGCGTTTGCCGATTTCCATAGTGTGAAAGCTCCCACCGTGGCTGATCTCAGATCATCATGATGAGGCCAGTGAACACAGGAAGTGCAGGCCTGTCCGCCAGCTGCCCCATTACTGACCCTGCCCTCAGGGTACAGTAAACAAACCAGTCTTGCTCAATTGGGCAGCCTGTGTTGGCATCACCTGGGTGGTACAGGGACCCACAAGCCCTGAACTTGGATGTAGGTCGCCCTGAACTAGCAGTGCCCTCGCAAGCCTGGCAGAGCAAATGTAAAGCGTCTCTCAAGGAAGGTAACTTCATCAAATTGTCCCTATAAATACATGTTAAAATACAGTGTTCAGCATGGTCCGAGAGAACCCAGCAGATCACAAGGAAATAGGACACCATGAGCAAGAACTTGCAGAAACAGACCCTCAGACACTTCAAATATTAGAATGATCAGACACAGACTATAAAACAACCGTGCTTTGGTGAAAGAAAAGTTTTAAAATCTCTGCAGTGGACAGGAAACTATAAAAAGCGACATGCCAGACTTATAAAGAACATTTGTAGAAAGCTTTCCAGTTTAATCAGAGATCAGAAACACAAATTCCTTCTGGGGCCATCTGGTAACACAAATGAGTAAAGTGACTGGGTGACACACCGGTGACCTGGAGAGCTTTGTCTGAGGGGGTACAGAAGTCCTCAGCTACAGCTGAGTGTTGCCATGTGGTACTGGGGGCCCAGTCTGTAGATGTCAGCTGGATATTTGAATTTCTTTTCATTGTGGTAAAATACATATAACATAAAATTAACCACTGTGAGCATTTTAAAGTGTACAACTCGGTGGCATTATGTATCTCCGCAATGTTGTGCAACCGTCACCTCTGTTTAGTTCCAGAACTTTTCCATCACCCCAAAAGGAGACCCCAGACCCATTAGCAGTCACTCCCCCTTTGAACCCTCCTTCCCTGGCAACCACCAATCTGTTTTCTGTCTCTATGGGTTTGCCTAACCTAGAGAGCTCCTGTCCTTTTGTGAGTGGATTTCACTTAGCGTGTTTTCCAAGTTCATCCATGTTGTGGCAAGTGTCAGTACTTCATGCCTTCTTAACAGCTTAATAGATACACGCATTTATCCATTCATCAGTCAGTACTTGGATTTTTGAGATACTTTCCTATTTTAAATTCATATATATATATATTTTTTATTTATTTTATTTTATTTTATTTTTTTTAAAGTTCTGTGTGGCCCCAAGCACGTCTGCTGACCTGACCCCGGCCAACAGTAGAAGACCTTTGCCTGCTGTTCCATATTTTCCCATGTCCTCAGAATGATTCTCTAAGTGTGCCTTCATTTTTCACATTAGGAACTCGTGGTTCAGAATGGTAACCATACATGCCTAAGAAAAGGCCTGCAGTGCCATCTCCCACTCCATGACCCTCATAGCTTCTCTACCCCAAACCAAAACCTTGGAGCAAGCTGCTTGGTTCTAGAGTGAGTGGGAGTTAGGGGTCTAGTCGCTACGGCTGTGACCTTGAACTTCCCTGAGACTCTGTTTCCCTACGTGGAAAATGACTGCTGCTGGGCTAGTTTATCTCCAAAGCTAGGCTTGTTGACAGGGTCACTCCCACTTTCCCCAAGCATCCATCTGGGTGCGAATTAGCTCTGGTCCAGTCTGTTTAGCTGCACCTGAACACAACCATGGAACACCTGAGTTGTCCTGGTAACTATAGGTTCCTCCACAGAGCTGTCCTGGGGCAGGAAGGGGAAGAAACCACGTCAAGAGTCCTCCTTGTAGGCTGGCCAGTCCATTTTACCGCGCTAGTGTCCTTTGTGCGGTCGCGGCACCGGCTCTGAGACTGGGACCTAAGCCAGTCAGAAGGGGCTTACATTGAAATCGTGGTTCTCCGACAAACCCAGCGCGGGCCCCTTATTTATGGTGAGGGCCACGATCTCCAGGGGGCAAGGCAGAGCCCCAGTTAAAATGCTGGTCACTCTGGAACTTTCTCTGCCGAAAGCTACTTAATAAGCAAGGTCGAGTGGCACCTTTCCTCCGACCTCAGTTTTCCAAAGGATTCGGGAAAGGGAAGCGGCGTCCTAGCCCGGGTGTTTGCACGGGGCCGAGGGCCAGCTGAGGTCCGTGTTTCTCAATTCTCTCCAAGAGCACTCGCATCCCGGGGTTGTCGCCTGCAACTCCGCGAAGTCAAGAGCCCCGCAGGAAAACTTGCATTACTGCACCCGCTGCCGTAAACCCGGAGCGACGGACCGGCCGCCGGACTGGCTCCCAAGGAACGCGCTCCCTCCGCGGCCGGCCCGCCCTCCCCGGGGGACCCCGCGGCACCTGCGGCCTCCGGGTGAGTGTCCGTGCGCTCGCCCGCCCGCCCGCTGCCCCCTCCGCGTGCCGGGTCCCGGTCGCCGGGCGTCCCTCGGCGCGTCCCCGGGGCGGGTGGGAGGCTCGCGGCGCAGCCAGGCGGCGCCCGGAGGCCGCACTGCTGGCGGCTGCGGCGGCGCTGCTCCCCCTGCTCCGTGCAGCTGCCGCCCGGCGCTTGCGCACTGGGCCCGGGCGCGCGGCGGCCCCGGCTTTGTGTGTGTGTGTGTGTGTGTGAGTGTGTGTGTGAGAGTGTGTATGTGTGTGTATGTGTGTGTGTATGTGTGAGTGAGTGAGAGTGTGTGTGTGTATGTGTATGTGTGTGTGTGTGTGTGTGTGTGTGTGTG